TATATATATATGTATATTTGTATAAATTATATATTGATATATATATATATATATATATGAACAAGGATACGATCAAGTAGACTTGATTCGCACATTCCGCTAATATGTAGTGTAAATTTTTCAAATGATTGTGGAAACTGACACTGTGTTTTCTGCCAAAGAAAATGTATATTGCCGTCCCATACTAAACTGAACTGGTAGGCGCTACAATGGCAGTGCTCATGTTCTGAGCTGTTTACACCTGACGAGCATAATCGACGTCAAATGAAGGGAATATCAAGCATGATAATTTTCAGCTACTTGAGTAGAGAATGATATCTATGTCTAACGAACTGTTTTCTACCCTTTCATCTCACTTTTTTAGGCTGTAAAACAACGCACACACATAACTCGGGTTGCAGATAATGGCGACGTGTTTGTGACACTCAGTGCACGTACAAGCAAAGCAATTGCGTCAGACGATAACTATCCCGATCTCCCGGAAGACAACACTGCGGCAGTCACGATACTGTACGAAAGCGATCAATGAAATATGACAAGGCTCAAGATATAACCTCAGTATATCATATGTAGTAAGTAGTCAAGGTTGTAATCCGGTATAGGATAGGTAGGGGTGTGATCCAAACATAATAGTGTAGTATATATGCAGGAATATAGGTATCGTATTGGCGTTCCATGACATCGATATGAAGGACTGTGGGAAACATCGCAAACTCACAAGGCAAATATGCCAATCTTCGTGTAGAAGCTCCTACATGGTTGTACATGCAACGGCACAGAAATGTGTGCCGAGACACGCACAAACACGACCGGGCGACCGGGGGTATACATATCCTCATAGTCACGCACACAGGAGTATGTGCAGTACAAGTGTGCCGGTCATGCCACTTGCAGTGTCCTAGCCTCAACGAATGTTAGTTGTTCAACTGCGGGGCGTTTGTTGAATACTTCATGGCATACGCGTGTGAAGTCATCGCGTTGTCTAGAGCTCGCTCCTACGACAATACAGATGCGCACACTCCCGCGAAGGCTATCACCTACTCACCAATGAGACATGTGGATGCACGGTAGGATCCGCTCACTTAGTGGTGTTGGGGCATTCCCAGACGTCCAGGGCCGTATGACTTATACACAAGCCTGCACAAGCGACCTCAAATTTGACCACAGTGTGTGAACTGAGTACTGAAGCTCACTTCAGTGCACAGTGAGATTGACCTGTTGCAGTCAATGGATGTGTGACCGGTGGCCGTGCCCATGGTCGACTGCCGCTGAACAAGTGGCAATGGAAAACGACTGAACTTTGGAACTGACGGTGTTGAAAGCAACTTGTGGACCTATCACAGTGACAGTCTGACATGACTTGTTTCCGTGGGGATCGGAGTATGTTCTTAAGCCCAGTCTATATAACTGCTAGTTGGTCTTGGGAAAGCTGATAGACGGGACTCAGAAGAGAATCTGCGAGAGTGAAGGTTTACGCGTGCTATAGCTAGTGCGTGTATCCAACCGGGAGGGATTGAGATGGAAATCGTGCGTCAAATTATGCGAAGAAAACTAGGGCGCTGTGGCGAGAACGCTAATAAAGGTGCTGGTAATAGTGAGTGCGAGATTTGAAGGAAGAAAGGTTTGACGAGACAAATAGCGGACAGCTGTGGACTCGCTGAGAACTTCGATCAACGTGTGAGAGCTCCATGACGTCGTGTGTTTGGAAATGTGTGGAAATAATAGAAAGAAAACACTCTGAACACCATGTTAGTATGCTTCTAATGTACACCACTCTAGTTCAAATCCATAAATCGGCAAGTTCTATTACTCTCCCAGTATGTGGTCCAGTAAAAACCCTATTTGGTACCAAAACCATCGCACATTCATTGCTGGGCCTTGTGCCTTATATGCATTGTCGTTTTCTCGATTATTCTCGTATGTGTTCACCACAGGATGTCTTAGTACTTCTTCGGACTGGCCTGAAATTGATACAACTCAACACGCTGGTGTGAAGTGTACCAATGAATATATCTCTGTGTTGTACTTGTTTTCGCTGGGATGCCCTGGATAAACGTGCAGTCACTGGCCAGCGACTCCTCACAGAAGCACTACACAGAACTCCGACGAAATGATTGGTTAAAGGAAGCATGGGATCTTTTTCCTGCGGCCATTGCCACTTTCGCAACACCCGACTCACTAGCTTATATCGCATCAGATCTGTTGAATGTATCTCCATAATAAACCCATCCTACGTAGACTGAACTTACATGCATGGTTAAGACCTCTCCGATGCAGATAATCCGGCAGCTTGGGGCTGACTCTGTTGCATATTTGCTGTTTGTACTAGCTTCGTCAGGATTCTACTACAAAAACACGACTCCAAACACCCCTGTGGTTCACCAAGTCTTGGGTTAGACTTTGAAGTTCGAGAGGCGCTTTTTGAATTTTTAACATATTATCTATACATATATATATTTATATACATCACGGAAAAATTTGCTACAGGACTAAAAACTGTTGATGTTGCCTTGTTATCACGCGGAACAGCCCTCCAGTGTAATCTATCTTCGTTTCTCATGTCTTGTGCGGTGCTACATCTCAAAAGGCTAAACACGAGCAATACTGTACAAGCATCTCATGCCCATCTGCCAATGCCGTTGAAAGCGGAGATTGCAAGAGCCTCTAAGTATCTCCGTCCACCCTCGACCGCCCACTCCACCAATTCACGGCAGAAGGACTTCACGCATACCCCATCCATACGGTAACACACCAAGCAAGGGTTTACTATGGCCAGGTATCCGCTCACACAAACAGTGGATATAGACACGGTGACTGGGCATGTGCATAGAACCCCATGGAAGCTAATTTGCACGTGTACATTCCCATGCATATCACCGTTCGGCCTTGAATGATGGCGACTATGCCCCGCATATACAATGCAGCATATGTGTGGATTTGGCACCAATACACCCTGTATGTACAAACGCTCCATCTACACCTTTGAACGGGAGCTTCTTGGTTTTAACAACGCGCTGATCTGATCACTGGATGCTTGGCCACGCATGTCAATGATATTGCCGGTCCCAAGTTTCACAGTCCTGCCGTTACCTGACGTTATAATATTACCCTTATTCTCCACGACGATATCAACTGGTTTATCCGACGCCGCTGCAAACTTGTTTTGGTAGGGTTTTGCGGCAGCTACTGTGGGGGCTAGTACGGGAGCTGCTACGGAAGCGCCATAAATCGAACCGCCCGCAGGCGCAGGGGGTCCTCCATACAACGACATAGTGGACTGTTGATTAATGCCGTACAGAGACTGGCTGCCGAAACCACCCGGGCCACCATACAAAGACATCTGCGACGCAGGCGCCATAGACTGTACGGGGTTGTACATCGAGTTGTTGAACATGCCCTGCTGCTGTCCGTACATGCTTTGGCCCATTGGAGCTGCGCCGCCGTACATGCTCTGGTTATAGCCACCACCCCCCATCTGCCCAAAGTCGCCTGGGCCATAACTCTCGTACATGACGTTCTGTTCTTCCTCCTCTTCCTTCGCGTTCTTCAGCTCCTCCTGCTGCTGTTGGATCTGTAGCTGCTTTTGCCTCTGCGCCTGTGCGTGTTGCAGCGTGGCTGTCTTCTTGGTCTTCGCACGGCGCCGGCTAAGCACCACACAAACACACACCAGACAACAACAACAGCAGCACACCACTCCCAGCACAACCCCAATGATAATGTACATGGTCGTGTTGTCGCCACCCTCACCCCCATCCTCACCCCCAACATCTTCGGCCGTGCCATTGGTCGCAGCTGCCTCTGTCTCCTGGACAGCGGGGGCGGGTATGGTCACGGTCTTCTCACCCTCTATCAGGTAGCGCGCGACTTTGATATTGTACAGCTTCTCCTGCATGACCAGATCAAAACGAGCCTTATTCAGCAAGTCCTTGTTATCTGGACTCATGCGCGTGATAGCCTTCGTCTGCACGGTCCCCGCGGCCAAGAAATTGGATACCTTGATACCTATCTCATCTCCGCCTATGGTCTCTGCCAGCTGTTCTCGAAACTCGAATCGATCAAACTCTTCCTTGGGTCCCCTGAGCGTGATAGTAACCTTTAACATTGTCGGCCCATCGTACAGCTCTTCCACCGCGGGTGCCTCTTCAGCAGCTGCATCGCCCTCTGCATCACCCTCTGCAGGCGCGTCTTCTTCAGCTGGTGCGTCTTCCGCGGCTGCATCGCCCTCTGCATCACCCTCTGCAGGCGCGTTTTCTTCAGCTGGTGCGTCTTCCGCGGCAGCTTCTATGGCATAAAGTATATATAATTGTAGATGAATAAGCACTGAAGTTCTATAAGATTGTCAAGTAGGGTCCGTGTGTATATATTAGAAAACATATCCACATAACTGTCATATTATAGTACTTATAGAAAGCGCTTTATATGTGAAAATAGGGTTGATGTCGATACCGCATTGATTCAAAACAATGAGCATATATACATAAATGGGTATGTGTAAAAGCATCCAACTACACTGTGCACACATGAGTAAGGTTCGCAGAATATAAATATCAACCTCTTTTAAGATCTTTCAATCACACATGCAATAACAATATGCAAAAACAACCACTGATATATAGAAGCATTGATCTATACAGATATATTATATATATATGTATATATACATATATATATATATATATATATGTAAATTTATATATCTTTG